AAAGCTTACTGTCGGTAGAAAAGCTTTTCTTCTATGACTTTCGTCACCCGGCCTCCCACTTCATAAACCACAACCTCCCCATCCTCACCAATTCCCTCTCCCGCACCCTCCGGCACTTCTACCCATTAGCAGGATCCATCCGCCCTTCCCCTAATTCTGACGGCCAATTCGAGATCACCTGTGAGGAAGATGACTCTATCACCATCAACATTTTCGAGTTCATCAGCGATAAATTCCGCAACATCTCCGGCCACTATTCCAAAACCTTCAAGAACTTTTGTCTTCTAGTCCCGAAAATTGGAAAGACATCATTAGGCGGACAATTTCCGCGCATTTCGATTCAAATCACCATTTTTTCGAATCACGGTCTCTGCATTGGCTTCGCAATACACCACGCTGCCTGCGATGGATTTGGATCGATGCAATTCATCTGGTCGTGGACCGCTGCATGCCGTTCTACTGAACCTACCCTTGACGACATCTCCCCTCCATTCCTCGACAGATCTGTTAGATCCTTGACTGCCGCGAATGGAGGCGATGAAACAGGCGTTCAGCCTCGCATGATGGTTTCACATAAGAGAGAGCTTATAAGTTCTCCCTTTTCTCCGTTCTTCCCATGCACTCTGTGCTCTTCTCATTATTTCGTGCTAGAGGATTCCTAACCCGCTCAATTTGAGCGGCTTTCGAAGTCACACGAACAGCTGTTGAAATACGCCGCTGATGCTTTAGAGGAATTACTTACGTTACGCTCAAAACAAACCAAAAGATCTAATTTATGAAATGCAAGTAAATAAATTACTTTACCTTCTTAATTATGCATACCAAGCAGCCCCTTAATTTTAATGATTTATAGATAGGATGTGCATGTCAACAAAGATAAGTGTTTCGTCATTTTAAAAGAGCACAAATATTTTAAAGAAATATTCCCTCATTTTGAAAGCGTGATATTATCTTGAAAGGCGCATAATTGCTTAAAGAATAAAAGTGTGCACATGGTTCAATAAGCATGTTACTTTTTCCAAGAGCATGTAATTGCTTAAAGAATCTTGCAACAATTTTAAAATTTATATAGCCTCAAAAAGTGTAGATATGCCCATTGTTTTGAAAATAGGATT